ATTGGCATAACTGAACACTAGTTTTGATTCGTATCGCTTAGGTGATGAAGAGTAGTTGTCGATGTGAAAAAAGATTCTATAGTGGTCAGAGAGCAAGAGAGAGGGGGAATTCAACACGGATACTTGGGTGACTAGGCATTCATTGTTAGTAAGAAGAATGTCTAGAGTATTTCCTTTAACATGTGTAGGACCAGTTTCAGGATTAGTCATGAGGGGAAAACTCTTTACTATTATATATTATACCTTCGTGAGCCTGCTGAACAACCTGTCCTAGGCCCCCTGTGACTCTTTAGCTACACTTCACTTGATGATCTTCAAAAATGTAATAATCATGAGGAAAAGAAATAATGAACCAAAGATACACAAAGACATTTTGGACAATAAATGCAATGGTTGTTTCCAGAGGAATACCTTCACCTGTATAGTAATATGGTGTACACAAAGGTGGGTATTATAATAATGCACAAAGAGGCAAACGACAAAATGACACATCATTAGCTACTTTTGTGATACAATGTCTCGCCTTATGTCCCTATATACCTTCCGCGTGGTCCACATACCGTTTCTTATTCACGTTTTGAGGCAGAACTTGAATGTGTTTTCCCATCGATAACCAAGCTGTGAATGCAGCACTTTATAATTACATACAATGGGTAGTGCAGCTATCATGGCAAGGTGCTTTCCCACCTTTCTGCCAAACACGTATATAGCCATGTGCAAGGGACATCCCCTGGGTCCTCCCCCGCCGGACACCCGCAGCGCCGCGGCGCGGGACTCGGCTATAAAATTGCAAGCTGCCGCTCGGGCTAGCTATAACGACGAGATGGACACCCTTCCAGTGCTATCGCAGTGTAAGTCGGCCTTTCAAGCAGTATGTGGAGACCTAAAAGGGGCTAGGAAAACTCAAGAAAGATTCTTAAAAACCTGCCCAGTCGTTTCGCAGGGAACGTCCGCAGTTCAGGCGCTGATCGGTGACACTGAAGGCGCCAGGGAGACGCAACTTGAGTTTGTCGGATTTGTAAATGACACTGCTGACTCGATCCCAGTTGTCGGCCATGTCAAAGGTGGAATCCATTACGTCTGCGGGGATACGGAGGGAGGAGACAAGGCTATGAAAAGCTCGTCGAGAACTACCGGCGTCATTGGAGGAGGTGTGGTAGGGTTCGTTGTCGGCGGTCCTCCCGGAGCCGCCGTTGGCGGAGCTGCCGGAGGCTTGCTCGTGGATGGCCTAACCACGGGTATCGACTCTGCCGTTCACGAGGAGTTTCGCCCAGCAGGCACGGTGGCCGCTATCGATACCTTAGTTGAAGGCAAGTCACAATCTGTTTCGGGAGACATCTTTGATGTCGTGGTGGGGACTGTAATGGATGGAATGACTGGGATTGCTGCAGGCGAGCAAGTCGGGAGAATGTCAAAGGTTAAAGTAAAGGGAGAAGCAAACAATGTTCCTGCCAATAAGCAAGTACATGTAGACGGAGCAATGGACAAAGTGAAACATCTTACAGGCGATGAAGTAAGAAATTTAAAGAAGGATGCACACACCCATGCGCAAGCAAAGCAGAAAGTCACTGGAGGATCCTCGAAACTGACCAAGGCTCAAAAGAAGCAAGTAAGGCAGTTGAATCGCAACCGTACAAAGCTAACAGATCACAACATTCACGGGCTAATAGAGGATCGCCAAGGACAGATTGCAGTCGATTTGAAACCAGAAAGCAACACTGGAAGGTGTGCTGAAAGAATTATAATGGAGGATCCGAAACGAAACTATACACTGAATGTGGTCGAGTATCTTGATGATCATAAGTATGGGGTAGTCGACCCAGGGCCTGGGCCTTCCTGTGTCCAACGAGCAGCTAACTTTGTTGCAGACCATCAAGCAGTTTATGGTGCAGCTGCAGGAGTCTATCCTGCTGCGGCAGGACCTAAAGGAGTCGCCAAGTTTGATATCTTGGTCATTGGAGCTAGTGCTGGTGGAATTGCCTGTGCAAACAGAGCTGCTGAACTTGGGAAGAGAGTGGCTATAGTGGGAACTGGAGACAAGGAGAGCGTAAGTGTGATGAGATAATCTCCACGCACAGATAATGTATGTTGCAATGCACAAACAGGACAGGATGTAAGGGCTCATGCTGTCCTGTCTGGGTACTGCAATAGATTTGTTGGATATCCCTAGGGAAGTAACATGTATAAACCCTTTGCATTTGCATGCAGGATTGTACAGGCTGATAACATTCTCCAGTACTTTTCTTCATACGTCATGTCGGTTGCCTAGGGATATAGACCAAGAGGGGTGCATGGGAAGGTGTAGACTATGAGTATGGTACATAGCTGTACTGGGGGACTTAGTTTTTGCCTTGTCATCCATGCTAGCCCTATACAAGCCCTTATACAACGCTTGTGGTTTAGAGAACCACTAGAGCTATAGTATAATATTATAGCCCACAATTATTTTAAGCCATTAACTAACGCCTGTTGTGCACCATCTGCAACAGGTGGCTTAGTTTATATCTATTAGACTGAGCCCTCATCCCATATTATATACCTCATCGTGTGCCAGTAGCACCAACTGATGCACATCAACTGAGAGATGCTGATAATCTATTATGCAGGATGTGCACAGTGATGTGCACTACTACCATGGGGAGACCATGTTTGTCGGACCAAGAAGGCTGTCTGTTGGCTCCCACCTCCTGGAGGCTGAGCTCATCCTGCTGGCCTGTGACACTAAGCCTGATGACATTGGCTTGAAATGGACGGTAAATTGAGTTGCAGCACTCTTTTACTTACATTGTAGTTTCATGTATTCAAATCTGGTAACTTTAACTTATGTGTACAAATTGCATAGGGCGAGGTGGGTAATAGTGATGGCTATGTTAATGGAACTCTGACTACAGGAGTTTGAGCACTCTCTTGTTACCTAATAGTATTCAGGCTTGTACAGATATTCACTGGTGTGCGTGCTCTGTACAAATTGCCTATAGGGTGTGGAGTGTGACAGTGATGGCTATGTTAATGTCAACTCTGACTACAAGACCAGCATGCCCCATGTGTATGCTCTGGGAGGAGTCACAGGCAAGACAATGACTCCAGAAGGTATGAACTATACTCTAGTCTTGCATGACAGGCTCCCGAGAAAAACGCGGTCTAGGAACTCTTGCACTGCTGGATTTTGATAATACATACATCATTGTTTTTTACATGCTTGTAAAAAGTCCCTGACAGCCTCAGGCACGGTCTGAAGAGCACAAAGATAGACTGGTGTTTGCAGTGCCTCTAGCTCAACAAAGTTCAACTTGCTGTAGTGTAAAAATGAGCCTAAACCCCATTTAGAGTAGGAGCCTCAACATGATTTCGGTTAGTTTGCTGAATCTCTCGTCTCATTAGCTCCCAAGCATCAGTGTTTGAAAGCAGTTCTCGGGTTCCCTGTTAGCTAGTAAGAGACATTAATATTGCAAAATACCACATCTATGTACTTTTGCATATTAATTTTATTCACCGTCATGTAGCTCTATCATTTTCCTTAAGGTCTAGATTTAATTCCACTAACTTTGCAACGGTCATAGTGTGGACAAGCCCTGTTATAAGTTACAGTAACACTCATTGTTTTTCCACAGATACTGTTATTGCTGGGGTGAAGCTGGCTGAGAGACTTTTCAAAGAATAGACTGTACAGGTTTTAGCAAAGACTTTGATGCATGCTTATGCCTACAACTTATGTTTAATTATACTGGACTATTAGTTTGTGAAATAAGTCACTTATCATAGCATAAGTACATCCTTTATGTATCGAACATAAGCCTTAGCATAAAACATAGTTGAAAATGCAAATCTAAAGTGTCTAAAGGGACCACCGCGATCATTCACCGAAAGAGTTTCAGTTATTAGTGACATGAGAGGAAGGTTGTATATTATATAAGTTAGAGTAACTATTAGAGGCGAGCATGAGTATGTCGAGTTCCTCGGCTCCACATCTAACCTATATGTAGATGATGTATGTGATCTTGTCATTTTCATGTGAAATATTTACTCCAAAAACAAGGTTTACTACGGAGCATCTCAGGTATATATACTACGGAGCGTCTCAGGTATATATACTACGGAGCGTCTCAGGTATATATACTACGGAGCGTCTCAGGTATATATACTACGGAGCGTCTCAGGTATATATACTACGGAGCGTCTCAGGTATATATACTACGGAGCGTCTCAAGTATATATACTACGGAGCGTCTCAAGTATATATACTACGGAGCGTCTCAGTATATATACTACGGAGCGTCTCAAGTATATATACTACGGAGCGTCTCAGGTATATATACTACGGAGCGTCTCAAGTATATATACTACGGAACGTCTCAAGTATATATACTACGGAGCGTCTCAGTATATATACTACGGAGCGTCTCAAGTATATATACTACGGAGCGTCTCAAGTATATATACTACGGAACGTCTCAAGTATATATACTACGGAGCGTCTCAGGTATACTACGGTCAATCAAGTACCTCGTGTGAACCAATCAGATTGCTTGATTTAATATTCTAATGTACAAGGTCTAAACAATCCGAGTATAATAACAATAAATCACGGCTGTTTCAAACCGATGGCATTCTGTTACTGGGTGCATACCATCGTACTTGTTTGTTGTTAACTGTTCTGTCGTAGGCCCACGCACAAATCATTTTACTAACCTAGAGTGACATTGTGTGGATATTCCTCTAGCATCACATCCATAGACTCCTTGTTTGCCAAGTTCTTCCAATAGCTGTGTGCTAAAAAGGTCTCATACTGTCCGTGAAAGGGTTTAGCAACTTTTTTCTTAGGCATGTCTGATGAAAGGGGCAGAGTGCCTTAAGCTGTGCAGGACTCTGCCATTGGTCATTGGGGAAAGGTTTCGGTTCTACCAGCGTTGCCAGCGGACCGACGAGTCCATCGCGGACTTCATCGCCGATTTACGCCGGCTCAGCATCTCGTGTGATTTCGGAGAGTTTTTGGAGCAGGCATGCGAGACCGTTTTGTTTGTGGGGTGAGGAGTGAAGCAATTCAAAATAAGCTACTGACGGAGGCCAATCTGACTATGAAGCGAGCCCAGGAGGTCGCGCAGAGCATTGAGAGCGCAAGAGACTTCAAGTTTGGAGGGTCCGATTCGTCTGCTCGTCCGGTTGAAGACGTACACAAGACCTCGCGAGCGACGCTGCCTGGGCCGGATAGCGCAAAGCCAAAGCGCTGCAGTCACTGGTAGACACCAGCACCTGCCAGTTCAAAGACGCCCGTTGCCACAGGTGCGGCAAGAGGTGAGGCACATCCAGCCCGTATGCAGAGCCGCAAGCCCGCCTCCTTCGCGTCCTAAGAAAACTGGCAGGTGGCATCCACGACGTCAAAGGAACACTGAGACTAATGAAAGGCACTGAAGTGCAAAACCTCGGCGCAGTGACACGCACAATTATGTAAAGTAATGGGTGGGGCAATGGTGATCTGTATTTAGGTTCATAGATAAGATTATTCTTTCCTCCCAGGCCTAACCTAGTGAGCTCCTTAGTTGGAGGCATACTTACTGAACTCAACCGTCTTCTCAGTCTAGTCTCACAGAGAAATGAGGGAAAACAAAATGGCTGCTGGCCACGTGGTCCAAATCAGCGTGCGCCGCTTTGGCCGCCTTCCGCTTCGGAGTCGCGTGCGTTTTTGGCGTATACACACATACGTGTTGTGAAATAACTGACAGAATGACACACACAGTAACCCTCGCTGCGCATGCGCGCCACCTTGACGACGGGATTGATAGCGAAGTCCTGCCCTTGTTTACATTGCACGGAAACGTTCCACAACCGCCTATTGTGGTGGTGCTGAGGTGGAATACACACCTGTGAACTTTGAATTGGACACAGGAGCACGGAGGAGCGGCAGTGACAATTATGACAAAGTCCAGTTTCCATCAGTTTTTAACCCTCGGCGCGCATGCGCAGCGGGGGTTACAGTAGTTAACCCTCGGCGCGCATGCGCAGCGAGGGTTACAGTAGTTGGGTTTGTCTGTGTGTGTGTCTGTCTGTTACTCTCAATCTCACTTCTCGGGTGTTTGTTCGTCTCACAAAGGATACGACCTACTTAACGGGCAATGAAGGTCAGAAATTTCGAACGGTTTTCTCTGAAACTTCTCCGTTGCAAAGCTAGAGCGCGAAAAAACCAATATGCAAATACACAACGGACGGGATGGCTTACCACAGTCGGATCGATCCGCGTACTTCGGAGGCACCAGAAGATATCGCATACTATCCAGTAGTGTAGTTAGCCCGCGTCAGACTCTGCGCGAGCTGGCAAGAGACCACGAGTAACAGCTAAACCCAGCCCATCAATTAGTGGTAAGGCGCATGCGTTTACTCACGCGTGCGCGTCACAGTGCGCCGAGGGTTTGCATTTCAGTGCTTTTCATTGGGTTTGTCTGTCTGTTTGTCTGTTTGTCTGTTACTCTCAATCTCACTTCTCGGGTGTCTGTTCGTCCCAGAAACGATACCATCTACCCAACAGGCGACAAAGGTCAGAAAATATTTGGGGTTTTCTCTGAAAATTCTCCGTTGCAGAGCTAGAGCGCTTCCACCATTGTACGGCTAATGCGTAGTCGGCCATTTTTATCGCTGCGGAAAATGCGCATGCGCTTATATCCTCAACCAGGTCCGCTTGCTCTGTGTATCTTGAAGGCACAAGAAGTCGCAACGAAGGGCATGTATCGACTCTCGCATACTATCTACTACTGTAGCTAGCCCGTGTCAGACTCTCTGCGAGCTACTAGCGGGAGACCACGAGTAAACGCATACTAATAGCAGCCCAGCCCATCAATTAGCGGTACCGCGCATCCCCAGTTCGCCGAGGGTTTGCACTTTAGTGCTTTTCATTTCCTGAAGCACAGCTGCAAAGGTCAACACTATGGTTTCAAGACCTTTGCGGGAGAGTTGTTGCAAATTGTGGGTGAGGCTAGCGTGAAAGTCTCATACCAAGACCAGGAGCCAAGAGTTCTGCCTCTTGTAGTCGTAGAGGGTACTGGTCCTCCTCTCCTCTGAAGGAACTGACTTCAGCATTTCAAGTTAGACTGGGGAAACATCAAAGCTGTTCAACTGGAACGTGACACTATTTGCAAACTACTGCAAGATTTGGATCGCCTTTTCGCCAATGAGCTAGACACTGTATCCCTGCTAAAAGCCAAGTTAGTTGTCTATCCTACAGCAGTACCACGCTTCCATCGTCCGAAACCTGTTCCATGCGCACTGCGACCCTTGGTGGAACAAGAACTAGATCGTTTGGAGAAGGCTGGAGTTCTGGAGCGAGTTGACCACAGCGACTGGGCTGCACCTATTGTGTCGGTCCGAGAAGGATGGACAGGTTAGAATTTGCGGAGATTACAAAGTAACCGTAAACCCTGTCCTTGACGTCGACACATATCTGCTGCCACGTCCAGAGCAACTCTGGCAGGAGGAAAATATTTCTCCACGTTAGATCTCACGCACGCATAAAACCAGATGGTTCTGAACGACGATGCTCGACATTTCTTAAACTCATCGTGGCTATACCCGACTTCCTTTCGGAGTCGCATCCGCTCCTTCTGTATTCCAGAAAGCCATGGATCAGATTCTCCAGGGGATAGACGGCGTTCTGTGCTATCTGGGTGATATTTTGATATCTGGCAAGACTGAAAAGGAGCATCTGGGAAATCTACAGAAGGTATAAGAAGCTACAAGAGCATGGTCTTCGCGCCAAGAAATCCAAGTGCTCATTCATTAACACCAGTTTACGCTTCTTGGGCCACAGCATCGATGCAGATTGTATTCATGCGACGGACGACAAGATGGAAGCAACAATTGTCAATTCACCAATTCTGCGAAATGTCACCGAGCTACGGTCCTTTTTGGGATTGTTAAATTGCTACGGACGATTCGTTCCAAACTGATCGTCTCTTCTTCAACCATTGAACAAGCAAGCTTCTTCGACACGGGGTGAGGTGGCATTGGTCAAAGGCCTGTTCCGAGGCTTTTTGAATGGCCAAGGAGCTATCTCCCAACATCTTGGTCTACTACGACCCTGGCCGTCCACTCACTCTAGCATCCGACGCATCTGCTTATGGCATTGGTGCCGTTATATATCGTTCAATGGAGGATGGCACTGAATGTCCGATCGCCTTCGCGTCAAGAACACTGTTACCCAGCGAAAAGAACTATTCTCAAATCGAGAAAGAAGCGCTGTAAATCATTTTTGGAATTTCCAAGTTCCATGCTTATATATACGGACGCCAATTTACACTAATTTATTACGGATCATAAACCGCTTACATCTATCTTTGGGCCAAAGAAAGGCGTTCCGACTATCGCAGTAGCACGTCTACAGCGTTGGTCTATAAAGCTCTCGGCATATTCGTACAACATCCGGTTTCGACGTACCGACGAACATTCAAATGCCGACGGTTTATCTCGCCTTCCTCTCAACCACATTTCTCGCGTTGGTTATACTCCTGAACCTGAGGTTTTTAAACCTGCAGCGAATTAATTCACAGCCTCCATGTGACCAAATTAGCAATGGCAACTCGAACAGACAACCTCCTCAGTAGAGAGTCTACCGGCTCGTCATCAAAGGGTGGCCTAATCGAGTACAACCGCAATTTACTCCATTTCCACGCAAGAAAGATGAATTAACGGTGGAGGGAGGATGTATTCTGTGGGGTATCAGAGTTGTGGTTCTGGAGAAGTGGAGGGGGAAGTTGTTAACTCAGTTATCCTGGCACCGTGAAAATGAAGAATATCGCTCGTATAGTTACATGTGGTGGCCAGGATTCAGACATAGAAACGATGACCAAGAGCTGCCTGGAGTGCCAAGCAGTGAAGAGCTCACCACCTGTTGCACCACTCCAACCGTGGGAGTGGCCATCTCGAGTTTATCGAGAGTTGAACTACGTCGTGTAAATAGTGTCACTTCTCCAACTGGTATATACCGTTGTGAGATTCCAACCAATGCTGTCCATGATGCTACAGACATCTCAGTGAGAGCCAAAGTCTATGTGGGACTGTACACTAGTGAAGGTAAATGTGTTAGCTAAGTGCATCATGAAAAAGGTTTAATTGCCGAGGAGACCTATATAGGTTAATAATTCTGGCTAATACTTATAATTATGGTAGCTATTAATTTCTTTGTTAAAATAGGGGGGAGCATCTCAATATCAGAAGGAGTTATATTTGACCCTAGCCAGCTGGCCCTCACCTGTATCTCCACTGGTGGACCTGGTACCACTGTCGCTTGGACCAGAGACTCCACCACTGTCACCCAAGGAACCCAGATTGTGTTCGATGACCCAGTGACTGCACAGTACACCCACACTCTGGCTGTGACTGCTTGGGAACATATGGAGCGATATGTGCCTGCCCCCAGTGAGCACGTGTCCCCTCTCTTTCTCCACTTCCGCATGTCCCGCATCGCTAAAGGTGTGTTCTGCTCCACCCATACCTGCATGCGCTCCAAGTATGGGTGGACCACGGCTTACACCATGGTAAAAAGTAAGAAAGTTCCTGCTTGTCTCTTCCGCAATGCCGTTCTGTTGCAGCATCCGACAAAAGCAGTTGAAATTACTCTTCTCCATGCTTTGAAGCATTTCGAAGTTCATCTCGATGCATCGCAGGCCGACCTGCCCATCATCTGTCCAGAAATCCGTGACATGCTCATGGATGCAGTTGATAGTGCAGCGAGTGCTTTCCGCTTCAAGAATTCGCGAGCCTCTGTAGCCTTCCAGTGCCCCTGCAGCCCAGACGACATGCACACAGCCACTCTAAATGAAGCCCACTCCAACCTCATCTGCACACTGACGGGGAAGAACATTCGAGGAGGCCTTACACCTGCTCAGAGGGTGTGGCTTAGACCACAAACTGCTCCAGGTGAGACTTCGGATTGTGAGTGTGTGTGTCTTGTGTACACTCTGTTGTTTGATTTAAGTCAGTGTTGAAACTGATAATAGTGTTTTCTCCTCTTTTCCACAGTCGCCGAATCAGCTACAACTTCTCTCTCGACTAGTGGACCTATGTCGTCTCTCACTGACCCTCCCTCCCCGTCTTCTCCGTCTTCCAGAATGGGTGAGCTCTGACTGTTTGTGTGTTTCTGAAAACCAAAGCTACAATCGTTTGGCCTTTGCTCTAAGTATGAAGGTTTGAAATGGGCTCAAACCTGCATGGTATATAGTTGAAGATTTGGGTGAGTCTACATCTCTTCTCTCCCCCTTTCATTTCTTCCTCTCCCCCATTTCCTGCAGCGTCCCTGTTACCCAGTGGCTCAGTACAGACCTCAGCTCCTCCAACCAACCCAGCCACCTCTGCAGACAGCTCATCTTCTCCTTCCTCCACACACCTCTCCTCTCCTCCAACCAGAATGAGTGAGTCTTCCTCTGTCTACATCTCTTCTCTCCCTCCTTCCTTTCTTCCTCTCCCTCTCCCTCCTTCCTTTACTCATCCTTTGTTGAATTGCAGCTGAGACTAGCAGACTTCAGAGATGGACACAGAAAGTACGAAGTAGGTTTTCATCCTCATCCTCAACTACTCCTTCTCACCAACATCTCTCTGCACCTCCATCAAGAATGGGTATGTTTTACACAAAGTTTCGTACAGTGAATTACTATGTAGCACATTGTGGTAGTAGTGACAATGACATGGTTCTAGTGACTGGTCACCACCACCATATCCCACTAGTGAGTCAGCCATATATAATGTGGTGTCCACTCATAGTGGTATGATGTGTGGTTTTTGAAGTTGTTCCTCATGTGTGTTCCCTGCAGTCCCCCAGTTGGTCAGTAGCTCACGGATGGGAGAGAGAGACACAGCACGGATTGGAGGTCTGCTACTGACTCTCTTTCTCTCTTTAACCTAGTCTTCATGTTTCAAACCCTACTGTTTGATCTTGGTTCTAGCGAGTTCTGAAATCTGATTGGTCAATCAGTTGTAGGATGGCTGCATGCGAAGCGTATGCCATTATATATTATATTGAACTTGTGCAAACAGTACTGCTATTCCAACCTCCAACTATAGTCAAACTGGTAGGCATTGTTGGTTTGTCGTTTCGTTTACTTATGTGGGTACAACAAATGCAAAACTATTCAAATCCTTGTTGGAAATTGCTAGAAATATTAGTGTTTAGGTACAGCTAGATAGTATCGCTATTCCAACCTACTGTATAGTCCTTCCTTCCTCCACTCGTCACTCCATCTCTTACTCCGTATTTTGTAAGATCACCCCAATACCTTCTCCTCTAGTCTCCTCCTCCTCCTTTTGCATCACCAATTACGTTCATGTTTCAATTTATGACAATCCTCTTCTGCTGTGTTTTTACAACCCTATAATCTCTTTTTTGGCACACTTGACGTGATCACATTCTGTTTTACTCACTTCCTTAATCTTTGTTTTTTTATAACCTCTCTTTCTCTTTCTCCTTCCTCTCTCCCTCTCATATTTTGTCCCCTTTCTTTTCTTTTTGTAAGGGTGCACAGCAGCGATTACGTTTGTAAACCTCTCTTCTACTTGCCTCTCTGGTATCGTTCCATTAGATGTTATTTCATCACCAATTATTTATTCTCGATTTTTCTCTTCTGACTCGTTTTGTACCACCCTAGGTTGTGCATTTTCCTCTACCTCTGTCTATATTATGTTGTATGATGACTGAGAGTAAGATCAAAGGAATTCCAGCTAGTCCAAACAACGTAGATGCGTAGTGAGCGCTCCTGCGCGGTCTACGGGTATTTAGAACATAAAGAGGCCATACAATTTCCCCATACTTTAGCTGTATGTCAACTCATTTGCATAAACCACAGTGGGTCTACAGGAGTTAGACGATAGTAGGAAATTGGCAGCGTGGAATGCAATTGGGGGCTTTTACAATCTGTGTGCTGCTTTTCTTTACCAGAAGGGAGTGTTTTCAGGCTAGAATGGCCACAAACTGCTCTAGTAGTATATACGCGTGAAAACTAGCGAAAGCTGCTTCCCGGCGCGTAGGCTCCCGTGGACTGGAACAGTATTCGGTGACTTTCAGCTTTCTTGCTCCCGTAACAGGCTGCATTCGAGAGTGCTGGGTATAGCGGGAAAGAAAGCGAGCCAGAGCGGCAGCTACAAAACTCGTGTAGAGTCTAGCAGCGAAAAAGTATAGCTTTGACGTACCTGTAACGTTGAACTCGACCATGGCTTCTGCACAACCGCACAGCTTGACTAAACTAAAGCGCTTTATTGCAGCTGCCTCTCTCCCGATCGATCGCTAGCTAGCTATAGCTAGCTCTCTCTAGCTCCGTACATACACTCGATGGTGTGCGTTAAAAAGAGGGCGTTTCGAACGCTTTTGCGCAATCTCATTGGTCAGAGCCTTACCGCCGGATGTCATCATACAAACACGTTATACGATGGCATTGGCTTGTGGTCTACTGATTGCACACTCGTGGCTTCAGTTTTGATAGACCACTCGGGCTACGCCCTCGTGCCCTATCAAGACCACGCGCCGCCATCGTATAACCTATACTTACACGATGGTGGCGCGTGGTCTACCGGTTGTACACAAGTGGTCTATCAAAACTGAAGCCACGAGTGTGCCACCAGTAGACCACAAGCCTAAGCCATCGTATAACGTGTTTGTATGATGACATCCGGCGGTAAGGCTCTGACCAATGAGATTGCGCAAAAGCTTTCAAAGCGCCCTCTTTTTAACGCACACCCTCGAGTGTACGGAGAGAGCCAGAGCTATAGCGATGGATCGGGAGAGAGACAGCTGCAATAAGCGCTTTAGTTTGGTCCAGCTGGGCGGTTTTGCAGCAGCCATGGGATCAACTGTTAAGAACGGCAGGAACTTCTGCGAAGATTGCGTATGCGCTTAAACCACTCAGCCACACCCACTAATTACAACCCTATTACGCGCTAAAACATTAACATACACGAAATACTTATCTTAACTATCGCGCATGCGCTTGTTCATTCTAAATAGTGCGCGCTCCGAGAACGACGACCTCCACAGCCATTGGATAGAATCGCAGGGAATGGTGAAACAACGAGATCTAGACCGGATATATGGACCAAAAACTGATGAAAAGATGGATATCCGGAAGGGCGAGGATATAAATCGGATGAATCTAACGGAATACAGCTACATAATGCGGAGAAACGATAGTACAAGACTAATATGAGAAGGAGATGTTTGCTCTGTTCATAGTCCTCACACAGGGTACTGCTGAGCTATGTTCATCATTACGTTATTCAGTGTATCTCGAGCAGTCTGCCCAAACCTCTCTCTCCATAGGAATTCATCCAAATAGCTTGGGAGTTGGTGGACATGGCATCCTCGCATGCGCTTCAGCTTGGTCTTCACACGGCACCAATAACTCTCCACATTTTGAGTATGGACGCCTGTCACCGGCTCTACGAAGTTGAGGGAGTGGTTTACCACACCATGTGCAGCAACATTCGGAAGAGCCTGAACTCTTCTGTATGCTGCCCACTGATCCGAATGGATTATGGTACCAGGAGCTGTGTGAGCTGCAATAATCGGGAGTAGGGTCGCTGCGTCTCTCTTTTGTACCACTTCCATTTAGCCTAATGCCGGTGTGTGGATGTATCCACTAGCCCAAACACCCACACCTCTCTAGTTGTTGGTCTGCCACGATGGTGCTACAGTGTAATAAGCCTTTTTTAATCAATCATGCTTAATTTTACATTTTTCTTACTTTTGGTTTGTGGCGAAAGAGGCTTTCGTCTATCTCGACCACTGTCTGCTGGCCTCCAAGTATTATTGGTGGACCATTCAAGAGGGCCTGGGAGCAAACTTCCGCAGCCATTGGTAGATGTCAATGGCTGTATGCTCCCCGACTTCAGCCTCTTCGCAGGCATCTGTGACTGGGTATTGCCTGACCCACATGTACATTAGTATCACCCACTTCTGCAGTGGGAGTCGTGATTTCTCAAAAAGCTAGCTTTTCTGATGCTCTTTCTTGTATAGCATTGTGGGCAATACCAGCTAACCCCGTCGGACACATCTTCCCTTGGCCGCTCGATCATCGGAGTATTTGGACACCTACATGCATTGCAATATCTCATTTCTTCGTGACTTACATGCTGTAACTGTCTTTATACCTTGTGCAATCCATTGTAGTTGCCAGCAAGTTATGTTGTCGAAGATAGGCAATGATTCGTGGTGTCCCACCAAATATAATCTGCCCAAGCTGAGAAGAGACATCGTTTGCTTCCTTCCAGATAATATATTCAAGCGGCGAAAGTTTCCCGCGAGCGGGCATTTTTATCCAATCGATGTGCAGCGGTGCAGATGAAACACCGTTGCAAAAGGTGGGAAGGGCTCGTTGCGTTGCTCGGTAGAATGAACAAGCGCACGCGCGTTAGTTTAGAGCGGTACACCAGTTTTAGCGTAATTGGGTTGTAATTAGTGGGTGTGGCTTAGTGGTTTAAGCGCATGCGCAATCTTCGCAGAAGCTCCTGCCGTTCTTAACAGTTGATCCCCAGCCATGGTCATTTCTGGAGACCAATACCTGATGGGTTCTCCTACGGAACTGATCTCGTGAAGTTCATCAGAGAACTTTATGGAGACTATTTCACCATCTGTGTGGCAGGTTTACAACCCCTCTCTCCTTCCTCTCCATCTTTTCTATCTTTCTTTTTCTCCTCCCTAACTTCTTTACGCTTCAATTGACTTTATGCTAAATTTACAAGACTCACTTATATTTTTATCATCATTATAGAACTTTAGCTGTTTTTGGACCATAGTTTGCAAGTATTTTTGATGTGATGCTTCCTTATTTTTTGCATGCAAGTTATGAAATAAAAATGCCTCACTAATTTGGAAACGTCTTTCTGTCACGCAACATTAGTGTCCAGATTAGAGGAGATTTGCTGTAGTTAATAATTCAGGTTAATCTTGTCAGTCCGGTTTTGTAAACGGGTTTGTCCCTGTAATTCCAGGTTATCCCCACGGTCACCCGGACTGTGCCAGCTACGATGAGGATATTCAACATCTGAAGGAGAAGGTGGACGCGGGTACAGATTTCATCATCACGCAGCTGTTCTTCGAGGCCTCAACTTTCATCAAGTTCTACCATGACTGCAGGAGGATTGGGATTACTGTTCCCATCATGCCAGGAATACTGCCCACTCAGGTACGTCGAATTAGTTGTCAATTAGTCTATCTGTATGTATGTACCTGTCACTGTGTCTCGTCCAGTTAAACACCTGTTCTCGAGTTTCAAGAACAATTTTGTGCCAACAGAAACCATGTGGTATTCTTGCAATTTCTCTCTCAGCTATAGTACAAGTGTACTCTAATACACACAATAGGGCTACAGAGGTCTGCACAATCTGACAAAGCTATCGAAACTGGAGGTTCCTCGAAACATCATGGACGCCATCTTACCAATCAAAGATGACGACGCAGCGATCCAAAAGTTTGGCATCAGTTTTGCCGTCAACGTGTGCAAAGAGCTACTCAATTATGGACTGGTGAGATGTCTATTTCTTCACTTATTTTACCTCTCTCTCTGTCTCTCCTTATGTACAGGTGAATGGTCTACATTTCTAGTAATAATAATAGTTTTCGCTCTCATTTCTATCCTCTTTCATCTTTTCCGCTATCTTGCTCAAACCTTTCCTCTCTCACTCATAACTTTCGTCTTTCCCCCTATCGTGCTCCTCTTATATCTCTATCTATCTCCAACATATCCTTCACTACTCTATATCTCTATCTATATTCCTCCTCCCCCTCCAAGGTATGTGGTGTGATGACCCGCTGTCACTGAAGACGTTGCCATGGAAAGCTCCAGCCAGTCACAAGAGGTGTGCCGAAGACGTCAGACCAATCTTCTGGGCCCAGAGACCCAAGAGCTACATACACAGGTATTGTATATATACCACACGTGTACTTTTAACAAGCAAGTGGGGGGAAGGACAGACCAACTAACCATTCTGAATACCTTGACTATAGCTGGAGAGTGCAGTGAAAATATAGGGTGGCCTAAATTGTTTGTACTTTTAACAAGCAAGTGGGGGGAAGGACAGACCAACCAACCATTCTGAATACCTTGACTATAGCTGGAGAGTGCAGTGAAAATATAGGGTGGCCTAAATTGTTTGTACTTTTAACAAGCAAGTGGGGGGAAGGACAGACCAACTAACCATTCTGAATACCTTGACTATAGCTGGAGAGTGCAGTGAAAATATAGGGTGGCCTAAATTGTTTGTACTTTTAACAAGCAAGTGGGGGGAAGGACAGACCAACCAACCATTCTGAATACCTTGACTATAGCTGGAGAGTGCAGTGAAAATATAGGGTGGCCTAAATTGTTTGTACTTTTAACAAGCAAGTGGGGGGAAGGACAGACCAACCAACCATTCTGAATACCTTGACTATAGCTGGAGAGTGCAGTGAAAATATAGGGTGGCCTAAATTGTTTGTACTTTTAACAAGCAAGTGGGGGGAAGGACAGGCCAACCAACCATTCTGAATACCTTGACTATAGCTGGAGAGTGCAGTGAAAATATAGGGTGGCCTAAATTGTTTGTACTTTTAACAAGCAAGTGGGGGGAAGGACAGACCAACTAACCATTCTGAATACCTTGACTATAGCTGGAGAGTGCAGTGAAAATATAGGGTGGCCTAAATTGTTTGTACTTTTAACAAGCAAGTGGGGGGAAGGACAGACCAACCAACCATTCTGAATACCTTGACTATAGCTGGAGAGTGCAGTGAAAATATAGGGTGGCCTAAATTGTTTGTACTTTTAACAAGCAAGTGGGGGGAAGGACAGACCAACTAACCATTCTGAATACCTTGACTATAGCTGGAGAGTGCAGTGAAAATATAGGGTGGCCTAAATTGTTTGTACTTTTAACAAGCAAGTGGGGGGAAGGACAGACCAACCAACCATTCTGAATACCTTGACTATAGCTGGAGAGTGCAGTGAAAATATAGGGTGGCCTAAATTGTTTGTACTTTTAACAAGCAAGTGGGGGGAAGGACAGACCAACCAACCATTCTGAATACCTTGACTATAGCTGGAGAGTGCAGTGAAAATATAGGGTGGCCTAAATTGTTTGTACTTTTAACAAGCAAGTGGGGGGAAGGACAGACCAACTAACCATTCTGAATACCTTGACTATAGCTGGAGAGTGCAGTGAAAATATAGGGTGGCCTAAATTGTTTGTACTTTTAACAAGCAAGTGGGGGGAAGGACAGACCAACTAACCATTCTGAATACCTTGACTATAGCTGGAGAGTGCAGTGAAAATATAGGGTGGCCTAAATTGTTTGTACTTTTAACAAGCAAGTGGGGGGAAGGACAGACCAACCAACCATTCTGAATACCTTGACTATAGCTGGAGAGTGCAGTGAAAATAGTTTTAGGAGTGACTGTTGAAAATTGGGCTAACCTTGGTCGATCTGTTGTTTGGTGAAGTAATGTGTTCATACGTATGAACACATGTATCTCTCCAGAACCAAAGAATGGGATGATTTTCCCAACGGTCGCTGGGGCAACTCGTCCTCCCCGGCGTTCGGAGAGCTGGCCGACTACCACTTGTTCTACCTGCGGACTCGCTGGAAACCGGAGCGACTGCGGGTCATGTGGGGGGAGGAGCTGAACTGCCCCGAGGACGTGTTCCATGTCTTTGAGTGTTACCTCACCGGCAACAGGAACAAGAACGGAGTCAAGGTGTGGGGGGGAAGGGGTTCATTTCGGGAGGGGGACAGGAGGATATTGCGCAATTACTCAAATCTTAGGGAACCACACGGACACAAGACTTTTCCTCGTCCCTCTTTTTAGACAATGAGAATCTATAACTGGGAATTATTTATTAGCACAAAAGTGTTGTGTGAAAGAATGAAGAACCCAGTACATATCCTGGTTTTAATTGCTGACATCACTTCCTGTCAGGTGACCAGTCTCCCGTGGAATGACGACGAGCTCGCCATGGAGACGTCTCTGCTGACTCAGCAGCTGGCGGCCATCAACCGTCGCGGAGTCCTCACGATCAACAGCCAGCCTGCCGTCAACGGTCGCAGCTCCTCTGATCCCGTGGTCGGCTGGGGGGAGAAGGGAGGCTTCGTCTATCAAAAGGTATGTGTGTGTACTTACCT